AAAACTTCCTTTCATTTCAGATTCTGTGACAACACCGTTTCATCTTTAACAAAGTTAAGGTGTCCTTGCAGGACACTGTCATCCTTGTGGGTGGAGGGACTCTATTTACCTACTTACTCATTTATTTTTGCAATGCTGGGGATCAAACCCAGGGCCTTGTTGCATGCTAGGCAAGAGCTCTACCACTGAACTACACCTCACCCTCTGCCTAGATCCTTTTTTTTAAATTGGCATATGTTAAATTACATAGTAAGGGACTTCATTGTATTTTCACACCTGTATGTAATGTGCATTGGTCATATCACCCCTCCATTACTCGTTCTTATACGCTGTCCTCCCTTTCCCTTTTTCCTTCCATCTACCTAGCAGTCCCCCTTTTACTTTCATGACCTTGATTTTTTTTTTTTGCTTTGTTTTGTTTTCCCCTAGCTTCCACAAGTCACAGAAAGCATGTGACATGAATTCTTTCTAATAACATGGGATCCCCTTACTTTTGTTAGAAACTGGGACTCAGGCAACAATTAAAGAGAAGCTTTAGGGTCATGTCTGTTTTTTCTAATAGGGAGAAAATATGAAACCATTGCTATAGACACCAAGGGATAAATGCAAACCACTGCTTTTCTATCTGCTTATTCTTGCAACGACACCAGACGACCATTTTCTCTAAAACCAGGATGCACTGATAAGAGAATTAGCAAGACAGAGCACATCAGGGCCCCAGTGTGCTATTGGGTTACCTTATTGAGAGATTTTTTCTACTGCCAAAAGGTTGTATTCCCAAGGTTGTTCCTGAGTCTGCTAGTGCAGGTGACATGTTCCTAAGCTCTGCATGACCCTCTTGGCACAGCAGCACCAACTTGCTTTTGCTCTGCTGTGGATCTTTGCTGCCAGTCAGTGCTGTGGTCTGAGTGGCCCTCTCCAAATGATGAAATTTAAGCCATGGTGACAGTACTAAGAGGTGGCACCTTTAGTAGGGTGGTTGGTCACAAGGGTTCTGCCTTGAGGGATGGAGGAAGGCTATTATGTCAGGAGAGGGCTAGTTATAACATGGTGATTTCACTTCCCCTCTGCTCTCTGGCTCTCGTGCACTCACTCTTGGACTTCCCTTATGTGCTAGGCAGCAGAAAACAGAGTAAAACAGCCAGGAAGTCTGGAATTTGAAAACCAGGCCAAGGAGCTTCTGCCCAGGTTTCAGGTCAGATCATAAAGTGGTAGGAAAGGAAACAAAGATGAGCAGAACATTGATGGCTTTGATGGCACATATCTCTAAAAGTCACCATGTGCTTCTGTCCTGCCCCAAAGTACAAGGAAGCTGGAGATGGTTGTTCCTAAGGCATGATACCCAAAAGTGCAAGACTTCCCTGCCCTCCATGCACACACCCAAAGAGAGGACCCACTTTCCTGTTTCCTCACTCCAAGCTGCAAAAAAGTCACATCATGCTCTCTCTGCCTCCTTCAGCTTGTGCCAGGAGTGAGGGCCAGAAGTGAGGGCTCCGTGTGGCAGCAAAGTTTAGAAAAAATAAAAAGGATTTTCCCAAACATCCGGCTCCAAGCTGCAAAAAAGTCACATCATGCTCTCTCTGCCTCCTTCAGCTTGTGCCAGGAGTGAGGGCCAGAAGTGAGGGCTCCGTGTGGCAGGGTCACCAAACTAAGTCAATGCAAATGCTCTCCAAGCTGACGGGCCCTCTGTCTTCCTGTTGGGGGAGAAAATAGGTTACCTGTGAGGTCTTAATGATTTTTGATAATTCTTCTCACTTCAGTAGTGAGGCTCATGTATGGCTAAAACCCATGCTACATCACATATAGACACAGGAAAGACAGAAATGGGGGATAAAGAACTGCTGGTAAATGACATTAATCATATATTTAAAGTCTACTTAGTTCTGTGCTCTAGAGCCCAAACCGCTCATTCACTGCGTCCATTTTTGAATTCCTTTTATTTCTGTAGGCTTTGTTCAGTCTAAAGTAAATTCAGAAGACATACACAGCACTGTTTATGGTAATACTACATTAAGAAATTGGGTTACCACATGGGTAAGTACCAGGAATTCAAAGTGCTCCTAGAGAGAGAGGGAGGAAGAGAGAGTAGAGAAGGAAAGGAAGAGAGAAGAAAAGGAAGGGGAGGCAAGAGGAGGGAAGGGAGGAAGGAAGGGATGAGGGAAGGAGAGAATAAAAAGAAGCAAGGAAGGAAGATGGAGGGAAAGAGGAAGGAGGAAGGAAGAAGAGGGGAAGGAAGGGAAGGGCAGGCAGATGGAGTTGTAGCTAAAGCCCACCATGCTTCCTTACCCTGTTCTGTTAATTCTGTCTCAGACATTTCCATGCTCAGTAGAGTCAAGGAATCCTTGTCTTCAGAGATCTTTGACCTGTCTACCTGTAATAGGGCCTATTTATCTTGAATTAGTTGCATGTTAGGATTCAGACTTGTCACAATCAGGAAAGATGCTGGGGACAAAGTGGTGCAAAGGTGAAGAGCAGAAGGTCGAGTCCAGCAGCCCTGCCTGGTTAGTTTCCTGTTGGGTGTGTCCGGCAAGTTCCTTACATGCTATACTTTCCTTCCTCCTCTGTTAACTTAAAACCAAAAAGATTCCTGCTGGCTTGTGAGGATTAAGTAACATAATATAATAAGGTCCCTAGCACAGTGCCCAGCATATGGGAAATGTTCAAGAAACTGTTAGGAAACAAAGTTTAGAAAAAATAAAAAGGATTTTCCCAAACATCCGGCCACCAAAACAAAACAAATAACAACACTCCTCGTGATTAGCACAGAATCATAAAACCATATTTGCGAAAGAGACTTTATATTATCTAGACTAGTGATTAATAGTTTTTTTCTTAAAGCAGCACTACCTCCCAATAGTGCCACACTGGAAGCAGTCCTGTAACACATGGACCACCCGGGGGAGGCGACACTCATCTAAACCACCTGGACCTTTGTGGACCTTCATCCAAACCACAGCCAGTGGGCAAGCCTCCCCCCTCTCCCCTACCACCTTGTCTCTTCCTACCCTCACTCCCCTGGAAGATCCAAGATGTCAGACACCTTTAAACACAGTTTAAAAACTAAAAATCTGCTCCACACTACCACATCACTGATGAAGGAATGGCCCAGAAATAGGAAGTATTTCTTCAGTGGTACCATGAGATCTACAGCCCAATTTCTGGTTATAAATTCTCCCACTACCACAGACAGAGAAAGAAGGCAGGACCCAAGCACACAGGACAAACTGATACAACTCTTCCAGAGAAACCTTCAAAGGTCTATGGCTTTACGTCACCATATGTGACCCTTTCCCCCCTGTACTGCTTCATAACCTTTTTTTTTGGTGGCCCACTTCCATTTTCATGTTTATTTTTAACTGCTTCTGGTGTTAAGTCATGCATTTCCTGTGAGGTTCCAGCCTTGGGGACAGAGAGCAACTGTGCAGGTTTCCATGAAATTTGTCTGAAAGAAACTTCACCTCCTCTCCGTGCCCTTACCTTTGCCTTCTGTGGTCCCATCTGACACTAAAGAAAGTGCTGTGGCTTCTTGGCGTTTTCACATTCAGGGCATTTTACTTCAGTCTCTCATCCAGAGGGTTGGCTCAGGCATCTCAGTGCAGTGCAGAAATGTAAACAGCAAAGCTGACTCTGTGAAATTTTGAAGTCAGTGTGTGAGATAAGGCTGTGTTCGCACAAACAACCTCAGACTTAATTTGGAAAAGAAAAAAGATGCCGCACGGTTTGTGCCTGTCATGCTGTTTCCACGTGTGTCTAGTTTCCTGGTGAGTTGTTCATGTTTCTTCACATTCCTGTAGAAAGATGAAGGCCTTTTTACTGAGAAAAGAAGTTGAGTTGGAGGTTAGGGAGTGGCCAGGCTGCTGACTGGTCATGCTGGTGACCCACCTGGTTTGCACTGATTACCCTGACTCCTACCTACTTCTGTGAGTGTCCACCTCCTCTCCCGACTGGGGACTCCTCCAGAGTAGGGCATATCCTTTCCATCCCCCTCAGAGGGTTCCACCTGCAGCTCACTGCCAGCTCACAGTTGGTGCTTGATAAATATTTATTGACTGACTATCCAAGAGACTTTGGAGGTATAAATCAGACATGTTGAAAAGCTCTATTAGTTTGAACTTCTACTGTATCAAAGGAAAATACATATTGAGGTGGTCTTCTACTGATTAAAAGAAATATATAACTGAATAAAAGAATATTGTTAAGACACAACTGAAAGAGCTATTAGAGCTATAGCTTTCAGTTTCCAGGACCACAGATCTAGACCGGAGATGGAATGAACTCTGTAACAGATACATGTAAGAACAGTAGCTAATAATAAACCCAGACACAAGTCTAAGCACTTTATGTAACTCATTGCATCCTTACATCAGGACTAGGAAGTAGATCAACATTATCCCCATTTTATAGACACGAAGACAGAGGCAGAAATCACTGGCCCTCAGTGGTGATGGATTGAACTCAGGCAGCATATCCACAGTCCACTTAACCCATGATGACTGAGCGAGTGAGTTAGTGAGATGCAGGTAGAAGAAAGTGATGCCCTTACCATAGTACGAATGCAAAAGGTCCAGTGGCTCAGATGATTTAATTAAAGGCAGGGATGTCGTATAATTTCAGAGTTTTGGAGAAAGATGGAGAAGAAACATAAGCCATCAGAGCATCAACTGTTTTCTTCTCTTGTGTGATCGAACAGAATTTTTATAATTCACTTATCTATTTAATTTTATTGACACATTAAATCTCTTTGGGCATATTTCTTTTGCGTTATCTAGGCATTTCACAGGTAGACATCACCCCAGTGATCTTTACACACCAGTAGGATGTTAAGCATTGTTTCCGCTGCAATGAATGAACAAACTTAGGTACAGTGAAGCAAAGTCACTTGCCCAAGGTCCTGTTGGTCACTCCAGGGTGTGCACTAAGCCCTGTCCACTGACAGCTCATGTAAGTGTCAGTCTTCTGCATGCTGAGAAGCAAATGTGAGCCATCTTCTTCTCTTGTAGGTTTGTGGATGGCTCCTAGAACATCTTGACTTGCTCCTGAGGAAATAGTATTCTATTGGGTTTCCTGCCAAGCTATTCCCTCGTGAACCATGAACCAACCAGACCCTGCAGATGACCCAGATCCCAGCCCTGACCCCCTGTGCGTGGTGTGTGGCCAAGCCCACTCCCCCGAGGAAAACCACTTCTACACCTACGCTGAAGATGTGGACGATGACCTCATGTGCCACATCTGCCTGCAGGCCTTGCTGGACCCTCTGGACACCCCATGCGGACACACCTACTGCACCCTGTGCCTCACCAACTTCCTGGTGGAGAAGGACTTTTGCCCGGTGGATCGCAAGCCCGTGATTCTGCAGTGCTGCAGGAAGTCCAACGTCCTGGTTAACAAGCTCCTTAACAAGCTGCTGGTCACCTGTCCCTTCACAGAGCAATGCACACAGGTGCTGCAGCGCTGCGACCTCCAGCATCACTTCCAGACCAGGTAGGTGGCATTCCTCCTCCTCCTCCTTGCAAGCCACCCATGAGGGTGCAGCTAGGACCAGCCCAATCTCCTGAGGGCTGGGGATTGGGGTGCCCTGGTGCCCCATGGGATGCTTGTTACTCTGTCTTTTTCTCTGTGACCAAAGGAAGGATCCATTCAGAATAAGACACATTCTCAGTGTCAATGGCTGTGAATCAGTGTGAGGAAGCAGCACTTGGGTAGAGTTGTGTGTACAAGCATGTGTGTGTTTATGGTTTTTAAAAGTTGTGGCAAAGGTATGTGACATTAATTTTACTGTTCTGACCATCATCAAGTGTGCTGTTCTGTGGTGTTAGGCATCTTGTGTACCATTGCCACCGTCCATTTGCAGTTTGGAACTCTCTCATCCTCCCAAACTAAAATTCTGAACTGTTAAACAAAAATTCTCATTCCACCCTCCCCAGCCCCTGCATTTTCCCTATATATAACGTGACTACTCTTACATACCATGTGTAAATGGCATACAATAGCTGTCCTTTTGTGACTGGCCTCTTTCCTATGACATTGATTGATTGATTGATTGATTGGTGATCCTGGTGTTTGAACTCCCTGCTGAGTGTTGCTTGTTTTTTCCCTAAGAAAAAACTATCTCCCAATTTGATCCATGATGGTCAGAATTCCCTCTGTATGGAAATTGACAAGGCCCATCTGGTCTTTGAGAAGATGTGTGGTGTTTTCAACTAAGTCTTAAGAAGAGAAAATTTTTGTTCGAGTGACTTGTTTAGCTAACTTTTCAACTAAGGCCCACACACTCATAGCAGAATTGGGGTGTGCTTGCTGTTGCTGGTGGCTGGTAACACCCACTCTCTGCCAGCCCTCCCCCTCACCTCTTATTTTGTCCCTTTTTTGTTGTGGACAGCCTCACAAGCAGCCCTGGGCCTGTTCTACCTGAGGAATTCTCTCAGAACACTTAAAGGTGCTTAATCAAGGGTGAACAATAACGCCAGTTATTTTGTAAGAGGAAATTTGCAGGTTGGTGTTTTTCTTGGTTCCTGTCATGACGAGGGCAAGAGGCAGGTGCAGGTGTTTATTTTTAAAAGGTCACACATGCCTTAGGTCATGAATCTGAGACTTTGTCTTTGGGGACATACATGGATTTTCAAACGTGGATGTTTGCATGAACAGCAAGGGCCTGGGCGTAATGTTTAACACGTGCTTCTCATACCGACCATGCCGGGGGGTCAGTTTTCTCCCCAAGATATTGAGTCACATGCTTCAAACTTGGGTTTGCGATGCAGTTCAACATATGGCTACATGTCCCACCTCCCCATTTCCCCAGAAGAAGGTGTGGCTAAAGAAGAAGGAGGAAGGGGATCTATTTGTGACCTTCGCTGAAAGTTTTACCCAGGTATGAGAGGCACTGTGGGGAAAGACGTAGGCCTAGGGTCAAAGGTGAGGTAGGTGCTGACAGGTGGTGGTCCAAGCCCAAGACCACACTGTGTGGGGGAGGTGAGGAGCCTGAGGAGGAGAGAGGGCCTGGTAGAGCGCCCTCTGCACACGTCACACTCCCCTGTTCCTGACGTGTTGCAATCTATGCATGAATGCCGTGGGTGCAGGAGCTCCCTGTTGCTGCTGTAACTAATGGTCACAGACTTAGTGACTTAAAACAACTCAAAATCGTTATCTCATAGTTATAAATTCAATGTGGCTTCACCAGAGTAACATCCAGATGTTGCAGGGATGCATTCCTTTCAGCTCTAGGGGAGAGTCCCTTTCTTTGACCTTTCTAGCTTCTAGATGCTGCCTACCTTCCTTGGCCAATGGCACCCTCCTCCATCTTCAAAGCCAGCCATGTAGCTTTGCCCAGTTTCTCTCTGTGACTGCTGCTTCTGTTGACACATCTCTTGGGACCCTGACCTTCCTGCCTTCTTCTTGTAAGGACCCATGGGATGTCCCTGGGTCCACCTGGATGGTCCAGTGTGGTCTCTTTATCTCAAACTCCTTAATGTAATCACATCTTCAAGGTCTCTTTTGCCACAAAAGGGATCCTATCCACAGGTTCTGAAGATTAGGGCAGACATCATAGAAGGTCATTACTCTGCCCAGCCTGGAAATAAGACAGAAAAGAGTGAGAACTCAGACCCTGGCCAAGAGCTGACTTGGGGGAGAGTGTGCCTAAAAATAAGGATGAGATGGCATGTGGACTGGAGAGTAGCCCAAGCAGAGATGTATAGGGAGGCTGGGGGAGGCCATGGCAGACCTATGGGGTCCCCAGGGGGAGGACTCAATGCGCCTGGATGCCCGAGCTGCAAAGGGGTTTTATTCACCTGCCACACCACCCTGAGACTCACACACCTCCAGGAAGCCTGGGAGACAGTGTGGATTGCACAGCTGATAATGATATGCACTCAGGGAAAATAGCCAGGAGGGAAGAACCCCAGACTGACAAAAAGCAAGTCACCTCTAAGCTGTGGCTTCAGAGTCCTTGGCAGCTCTGGGGAGAGGAAACTCCCACCTCCAGGAGGTGTGGGCCTCGACACCTGCCCTTGCACCTCTCCACACTTGAGCTGCCTAAGTAGGTTGATGCCAGCATTTCCCAAAATATATCATAATTAGTCATCAAATGCTTAATATACACTCCCCCTCCCCCTCCCCCACCCCGGGCACTTTATTGGCAAAGATTAAGCCTTTGGATCCAGACCCTGACTCTGGACATCTCTTGGACCTTGGCCATGATTGGCCAGTAGAGCATTTCCTCCTTCCCTAGAAGGGACATGAAAAAGAAGGAATAGTAATATCTCTGGAGTCCCCTGAATCAGGTAAACTCAGAGGTGACAGGAAGATGAATGTTTCATTACTTGTCTATGTGAGACCTCCAGAGTGGTGACCAATGGTTGGTACGGTTATCATACATAGTACTGGAATGGAGATTTTTGTTTATAAATTTGGCATTTTTTGTTTGATCACTTTATTCGATAAATATACATGTAAAGAAAATAGCATTTACATTTTTAATTTAGCTTTTAATTAACAAAATTGTATGTATTTATGGTGTACATCATCATGTTTTAAATACGTAAGCATTGTGGAATCAAAATAATTAACACATATTACCTAACATGCATACCTGCTTTTTTGTAATGGAAAGTCTTAAAATCTTTGTTAGCAATTTTTACTCTTTGTGGGGGGGCAGTACTGGGGTTTGAACTCAAGGCCTTGCTCTTCTAGGCAGGTGCTCTATCGTTTGAGCCACTCCACCAGCCCCTTCCACGAGCAACGTTTAAGTGTGCAGTCATTGTAATTAACTCTAACCATGTTGTATAGAAGACCTCTTGAAGCTATTCCTCTAGTCTAAGGACTGTCTAGCAGCCTTTAACACACAGAGGACTCTTCGGGGCTGTGGGCAGGCAAATGCCATCTGTTCTCCAGGATTCATGTCACCTAGACATAATACTGCATGTCCACTTCAGAACCTCAGCTCAACATAAGTCCTTAGGAAGACATGTAAGACTGATTGTGGCTGGGGTGACCAGCTGGTCACTAACTACTTTGTTCACACTAGAGAGCTATTTTCTGAGAGTGACACTGAACATGATCCAGCCTTTGGAATCTCCTTCTGACCTCTGCCCTCCTGGAAGTTTGCAGACTCCCTGGTCTACTGCAGAGAATTCCCAGTAGGATGATGGGCTTGTCTTGAGTCAGCTGCAACCTTCTTGACCAAAGGACACTGTCAGTAGATGTCATGGGGCCACTGCAGAAGGCCCACCTGTACCTGTGTCCCAACACAGCCCATTGATGAGGGAGCTGTTCCCTGGATCCTAAGTGAGACTTGTCTTAGGCTCAAGACTACATCTTCATTAAGTAATATTACCATCTGCACATATATTTGTCAAAGATCCATAATATACCAGGTCCTGAGTAAAAGAAAAATCTCAAGCCATGATTCCTGCCTGTGGGGAAGGGACTTTTTAAAGGTAAAGAAAAGAAGCCAAAAACATAGGCACATTGGATCATTTCATAGGACGTCATGTCTCCCGTTTCTTTCTTATGCTCTAAAAATGACAGCTTATAAGGCTGACCCTCCCTACGTACCTACTAGCATGAATAAAGAGGTCATTGCTGTGTTCTGAAAGGAGCGGAATTACAATGAGAAGTCACTGCCTCAGGCCACACCTGTCTGAGCATTTTACGACTAACTTTGCACCAGTGTCCTGGGAGTTTTTTCAAAGGTCTACCCTGGGGCCTCTGCTGACCTTGACATCTCTTAGGGGTACTTTTCTGTAGTGTGCTCAGTACAGCACATGTTTAGCCCACTGGCTACACCACAGAGGGTATTTTACAGCAGGGAAAAGGAATCTTGGGGGCCTCACCTGTGGACAGATGGGCAGACTACCAGTCTTGTTGGTCATTTCAGCTTGGCTGGACATCTGCACAATGATTTGTATTGGTCCTTACTGTGACTTTCTAATACCAAAGCTGACTTTATCCTGATCCCTACATCAACCCTGTTTAGTGAAGAGAAAAGGAAAAAGAAAACAGAAGTTGATAGGGGATGCTGGAGGTGACATTTAAGGATAAATAGAACAGCCTGGAAAAGCATGGGTATGAGGAGGAGGGTTAGGGTTGTTTACTGGCAAGGAAGCTATAGAACAATCCATGGTCATTTGAAGGAGGGATTTTTTTCTTTTTTATCCCCAAGGGATTGTGTTAATTAGGCTTACATCTGGTTGGTAAAAGAACATTCAAATTGTAGAGGTTTAACCAGATACAAGTTTCATTTTTGTCATGTAACACAAAGTCTTGGGGTAAGAAATATGGGACTAGAATGGTGTCACTATGATGCCATCAGGAATCCAGCTCCTGCTTTACACTTTACTTTCTATCCTCAAGTCTGTGACCACTTGTTCTCAAAATGACTGCTCACCCAGCATCATGTCCAAGTTTCAGGAAGAAAGACTCAGGCAGGAAGGGAAAAATGCAATGTACAAACTGAAATTGTCTCTTTTAAGAGCTTTCTGGAA